CTGGCCCTAAAGAAAAGACAATAAAAATCCCATTTTTATTTATTAAAAGTTTTCTAATACTAAACTTTTAATAAGCCTTATTTAAATATAACTATCAAACCTTAGGAATTCTTTAGATTAAATTTATGCAATGCATAGGGATGTAAAAGCTTACATTACCTACTTGCTTATTAATAATTATTATAATAAGCAAATGATCTTGAATTACTTTTTGAAAATTTAATAGCTAATATCTTAGTGCTGTGTGCCAAGTGCTATTGAGTATTTTAGTTTTCTATACAATATTTAATGAATATTATAAATTATTCATGTAACATGAAATACAGTATAATTTATACTGCAATGTATAACAATATAAATTGCTATACCTATTCTAAAAACAACCACTATGTTTGGTTAATGGAATAGTAGGTAACATAACTGAAAACTTACTAGAATTAAGACCCTGTGCTAAACTTCTCCCATGAATTATTACATTTACTTCTTACAATACTACTTGAGATAGATACTATTAATACTACTATTATTCTTGAGACTTAATGATATTAAGTAACTTGCCAGTGATCAAACAGCCTATTAAGGATCCAAATCTAGTACCCTTAACCACTATGCTAGCCCAGGAAGTCATTAAAAATTATATTCTTTTAAGATATGGAAAAATAGTAACATAACTGGAAAAAATCATGATACAAAAACATATACATAGTATAATCCCCCCATTTATATATACCTATTTATATGACTGGAAGGAAAAAGATAAAATATTTGTGGTATGTTATCTCTGGGTAGTAAAATTCTGGGTAATTTTAATTTTCTTATTTATATTTTTCTGTTTTTCCAAATTCTCTTTGGTACTTAATCTTATAATAAGAGGAAAAAATTACAAATCTTATATGTGTGTTTGTGTGTATATCTATATCTATCTATCTATCTATATATATATCTATATCTATATCTATATATATAAATAAAATATTTAAATTCTTGATTTTATGAAGCCAAATGAACAATGTTCCTATTCTGCATGAAACTACAGGCTATCTATAGGGTATCCCTCCCAATCATGCCTGAACAGAGTATCAACAGATACGACATCTGAGTTTCTATAGTACACTGAATACCATGGGAGAGGGAAACCTTGAGATCTGAGCACTCAAAGGTTTTCAATCCACTATGGATGGATACATAAGATACATATGAGATCTAAGAACATACAGAAAGCAAACAAACAAATGGATGGAAATCAATGTGGTGTTAATGAAATATTAGCAACAAAGAAATAAATGTATTTAGTAAATATCACTCCTCCAAAACAAAGGTATGATAACATAACTACGAAAAATAAATAATACTGTTTACAAAAAGTATTGACAAGCACTGACTATTTAACAAATCTGAACTGTAGGATGAACAAAAGATGCAAAATCTTTAAAAAAAAAAAAAAAAAAAAAAAAAAAGA